GCCTCCCATCGTCGTTGCCAGTTTGCCAAGCTAGTGGCTCTCGCTTCCCTCTTCCTGTCCAACGCCGATGAGGGGCTGTCCTGAGCCATGTTGGCCAGCTCCTTCCTCTCTCGGACTAGCTCTCCTAGTGGTATCAGACCTGCGATCACGAGGGCCGCGTCGTCCGACACCGTCCTGAAGGCACAGGACGTCCGTAGCGCGCATAGGCGGTAGTCTGCCTCGATTCCTCGTGCGTAGGACCTTACTCCCATCGCCTCGGCCCACACTGGGGCAGCGTACAGGATTTGGGAGCTCACCACACTAGTGATGAGCTTGCGCCTTTCCTGTCTCGGGCCTCTGATATTGAGGAGCATCCGCGAGAGGGCCCTCGTCGTCTCGCTCGCCCTCCTGTGGGCGTACTCGAGGTGCTCCCGGAACGAGAGCCTTGTGTCGAGCCAGACCCCCAGGTATTTTAGAGCTCTCCCCGAGGTAACGGCCACTCCTCCTACATGAACTGTCGCTGTTTCTACCTTCTTCCGGCTCGAAATTAGCACCGCTTCCGTCTTTTGTGGAGCGAGCTGAAGGCCTGCCCTAGACATCCATGCCTCTACGCTCGCCACTGCGGAGTTTGTTTGGGTTTCCACCCCGCGAACAGTCTTCGCCACCACCACTATGGCTATGTCGTCGGCGAATCCAACGATGGTAGTACCCTCATCCATGGGTAATCGGAGTACTCCATCATACATCGTATTCCACAAGAGCGGGCCTAGCACAGAGCCTTGCGGCACTCCGGCGGAGACCACTCGCTCTTTCTGGCCTTCCCGCGTGTCGTATAGGAGTATTCTGTCACTCAGGTAGCTATCCACCATCTTCAACAGGTACTCCGGGATCCTAAGCTCCTTCAGGGCTTCGAGAGTCCGCGACCAGCTCGCCGTGTTGAATGCGTTCTTTACGTCCAGGGTGGTAACCAGACAGTATTGTTTGGTTCCCCCCTCCCATCTGGTGCCTTGGATGGCGCTTGCTGCCAGGGTCTTCACCCTCATGATGGCATCTATCGTTGACCTCCCTTTCCGGAACCCGTACTGCTCCTCCGCCAGTCCGCCCTCCCGGCTTATCGCCGCCTGGAGTCTCGTGGCCAGGATCTTCTCCAATACCTTGCCTACGGTGTCAAGGAGGCAGATGGGTCGGTAAGACGCGGCCTCACCGGGTGGCTTACCGGGCTTTGTTAGTAGAAGGAGCCTCTGCTTCTTCCACACCTTCGGGAAGGATCCTTCCAGCAAGCATTGATTGTAGACTGCTGCAATCTTTTCTGGTATTTGGGCCAGGGCCACCTTGAGTGCTCGGTTTGGCACCGCGTCTGGGCCGGGAGCTTTGTTGGGAGCTAGATTTCGTGCAGCCGCTAGCACCTCCTCTGCTGTGACCGCTTCCACTGACTCTTCTTCGACGTCCTCAATAGTCGGGCGTGTTCCTTCTCCTTGACAGCTTGGAAATAATATGTCTATTATGGCGCTCAGTGCGACCGGGTCTGAAGGGGGCTGGCTCCCTGCCCTGACCTTTTTTGTTACGATTTTATACGCCCGTCCCCATGGGTCGTGTTCCGCTTCGTCGCATAACTTGAGGAACAGCTCGCGCTTACTGTCCCGTATGGCCTTTTTCAGCGTTTTCCTCGCTGCCTTGAATTCAAGGCGTCTTTGCTCCTGCGCGTCGGTGCCACGAGCTCGCTGCAGGGATCTTCTAGCCCTTAGGCACTCCTTACGAAGAGCCGAGATATGGCTTGTCCACCACGGAGCTGGTTTATGATGCCGAGCAAAGGTCGTGCGCGCCTTCATGCATGCGTTACAGGCCGCATCAAGGGCCGTAGCAAGCGCCGCCGCCGAGTCGTTTGCTGTAGTGTGGAGATCGAGCTCAGCCCTCCGCACGTGGTTTGCCATTTGTTGAACGTCTAGCGTGTCTTGTCGATACGCCTTGCCGCAGGGGGGAATGCGCGAGGTCGCCCGGCTGATTCCGAGCGAGCAGAGTATGGCCTCGTGATCACTGGCCGTGTAGATGTCGGCGATTCTCCACTCTGAGGTCCGTGCCAAACTACTGCTGACGAAGGTCAGGTCAATAATGGAACCGGCGCCTGCTCTATTGAAGGTTTCCTGGTTGCCCTCGTTAAGAAGGGCCAGGTCCAGGGGTGCTAGGATCTCCAGCAGGGCTCTGCCTCTAGCATTCGTGGTGGTGCTCCCCCACTCCTGTGCCCACGCGTTAAAATCACCCGCTATTAGCACTGGGTGTTTGCCTCTGGCATCTATCGCTAGCTCCTCTAGAGCCTTGCAGTACGCATCAAGGGAGAGGCTTGGGGCTAGGTAGCAGCTATACACCCATATGCCTCCCCACTGGATTCTCACGAAGCCTTCACCTCTCCTCACTTGCCTTGGCCCTTCCGCGGAACCTTTGCATATCCAGATGGCCGCCTTGCCCTGGTTGTTGGTCGACCACTCCTCGCCTGGACCGACGCTGTACGGCTCGCTGAGAATGGCTATGTCAGCATTCATCTCGCCTACGGTGTGTCGCAGAAGGTCCTGCGCCGCTCTACAGTGATTCAGATTGAGCTGGATCACTTGCATCCTGCCCTATCTTTTACAGCTCCATTGGAGTGCGGACACCGTCGACTTCCTGCGAGGTGTTTTGCCTCCTTCTCGCCTTTTGACGCGCAAACGTAGCAGGTGCTCTCGTTTGGGCAGTTGGCGATTTTATGCCCGCTTTTGCCACAGCGGATGCAGCATCCGCTCCTATCGGTGGGGCTTCGGCACTGGCTTGCAATGTGGCCAACTTCCAGGCATCGGTAGCACCTCGGCTGGCTCTGCCTCTCCCGGATCCGGCACACGGTCCATCCGATCCTCACTCTCCCCTTGCTCACAACTGCGGTCGCAATTTTACTGGGCAGACCGATGATGGCGGTCTGTGTGTCCCTGGATCTTGCCCGAAGGCTCCTTAACGTGGCCAACTTTCCATCCACTTCAAACTGCTCGGCCAGAGCAAGCCGAATGTCCCCTTCCGTCGCTAGCGGGTCGAGGTCCCTAATCTCTATATATTTCATCTTGCTGTCCTCGGACAGCGCTCGCACTTCAGCAGCTCCTTGAAGCACCTTTTCGAGGTTCTCCCTCATGGTGTCCGTGCTATCCACACGGTTTTTCGATAGCTCTAGCAGCAGGTTCCCAGTTGCGGTGCGGCGCACCTTATGGACATTTTTGCTGAATTCCTTCAGCTGGCCGTCCTGCCGTCTAGTGACCAAGGCAAGCACCTCGCTATACTTCCTTCCCTTGGCTTCTACAACTATCGCGTCGGGTCGGGTGAACGTCCTTGGCTTCCTCCGTGTTGCTGTCTCCCATCCAGGTCCTGGAGCTGCTGTCAGTGCGGCCGTGCTCTGACCCCCTACTCCCGCAGTCCTGGGGTCCGGGTGGCTGGAAGTCCGCTTGGTGGGCCCTTCTCGTGCCCGGATTTTCGGGGTCTTCGCCGAGGCCAATGGCGCGCCTCTTGGTAGTGGAGTCGCGCTGTCCTGGCTAAGCCGTCGCCATGGGTCAGTCTGGGCTGCCGCTTCCTTGCGCCGCGTTAGGAGGGTTTGTGTTTTTTGGTCAGTCTTTGCAGTATCTGCCTGACCGCACCTCGAACAGACGACCTCCGCAGCTGCCGCCGTCGTCCCTGCATCACTGGGGTTGGAGAGGATCCCGCTAAGGCCTTCCTGTAGCTCCTTCATCCTGCAGAACATCCTCTTCATTTTGAGGTTGATGCTCCTCACCTGTTTCTCGTGCGTTTGCTGGATTATGTCCTCCAATATCGCCTCTAACTCCGCCAGCATGCTGGAGCAAGGCTGCTCTGTTGACGCTCTCGTCCTCTTGGCCGGAGTCGATCTCTGGGGCTCTGATGGACTGGATTGTTCCCTCGTCCTTTTTGGGGTCTCCTTGTCTTCACCCGCGGGAACACCGCCTGTTGGCATCGCTGTGCTCCGCGTTGCCTGCAGAATGGGTGACCGCAGGATTTTGGAGCTGCTCAGAAACGCTGAGGATTGCTCCGCACTTTGTTGGCTTGTCGCTTTTACTGCCGGGGCGGCCAAGCTAGCCACCGCCTCGTCAGTCGTGGGTTGAATGGTGTTTGGGGCCTCCAGAATCCGTGCCCCGACCGTGGGTTTCCCCACGGGTGGATTTCCACTTGAGTGGTTGCCACCTGGAGTATTTGTGTTGTAATCCATCATTCTTCCAGTTGTGCTTTTTATACCTACTGCCAGGTTTGCATTTTATACCTTCTGCCAGGTTGGGGTTTGCTGCCGGCCACTATGGCTCAGACGCAGACCCCGTAGCCGCCCATTGTGGGACAGACGCTACGAGGATTTGGAGTGGGAAGAAGAAGGGGGAGGGTGGGCATGATCCATCCGGGCTACGATGGGGGATATACCGCCCCTGCTCGGTCGCCATTGCCCCGTTTCCAGAGTGCACCGCCGCGGCGGAGGGGTTGGACAATGGTCGGGTCCATGACCTTGTGCACTGCTCCTAGGATCCCGCCCGCCCTCATAAGCGCGCTATGGAAATTTCTCCTGGTGCCGCCCTCTGCGGGTGGCGTTAGCAGCGACGATACGGCGCCAAGTGGCGCCCTCTTCAGGTACTACCGTTTTGGTCGGAGCTGGTCACACTGCCGGTCAGCTGTGATCAGCTGGTACTGCGATCCGCATCACTGACCAGCACAACCCAATTTGGGCGAATTTGCAACGCGGGAAAAGCGATGCCACCAAAAGAGAGGGAGAAAGCTTACCCTGCCCCCCCCTGTCCAGCGACGTCGGATTATTGCTCCGGGGCCAGCGAGCCGGGAAAACGGAGCCACTGGGACCCCTTCGTTCCTGCATCCCAGGTGAGCCATGATATGTGCCCAGGGGTTCACAAACTTGTTTTTTAGGCCCCGCGAGGCCGGAAGACTGCGCGATCAGCGGGACGCGGCACAACCACGTCCGTCTCGTTCAACCTTCACTTCACTTCCCCTTCCGTGTGCGAGTGGGTGTTCGTGTGTGTTTGTTTAAGTGTGAATCCAATTTCCTTCTTTTCCCGGTTTTCCCTTGGTTTTTCCGGCTTTTGTCGTTCGTTCTGCTTTGGTCGACCCAAATTTTAATTGCACCGCTTTCCAAGTTCAGGGCTCAGTCGCATTAAAGGGAAAAATAAAACAGTGAAAGGTATGGACACAGATAATTCAATACAAGTCGAGAAAATTTATAACCTTAATCTTAAATAGAATAATCCTTGGGATAAAACATTTCCAAGAAAACTTTCTGAAGTACTCGGGCTCAAAAAGTAAAACGATAATTACATTTTATCAGTTTAGTTCAAGTATCGGATTTTATTGCCGGCTGCCTGGAAACACGAAAGATATTTCACGCAACACATATGGGAAATATTTACTTTCTCTCCATTTGTCCTGTTGAACTTAAAGCTTTCCACCATTTTAAATTTGTTGCATAAAAATCCTCCAATGGAACTCCATTGGAAATGCGCATCATAAACAACGTGCCGCACCGGAACAGACAGCATATTAAAAATGTGACTATAACCTTGGCTTCGACGTGACACCCCCCAACCCACCACCCATACCCCTCTTATCTGACCACCGGATATGCAAGTGCACCCATCAGTGATGTCCAATAGTAGTCCCAAAAAAGTTTTGAAAATTTTTTTTAATAAAACGAGGAAAAGTTAACTAAAGTTAAAAAATTTTAGGTGACTAAAATGGGATGTGTTAGAAAAAAATGTTATACTACATTACTACATGTTTGTCAAAAATAGACTTTAAAATATTGTTTATAGGTTTTCCTTAATTTTAGATTGTCGAAAAGGTCAAATTTCTTATTTATTACTATTACACGAATATCCAATATTTTTAGTTTGCTAACATCAACTATAACAAATATTTTTTTTTATCATTACTACTATTTTAATGAATATACTTTAAAAAACATAAATTTAAAAACAGCAAACAAAAGAAGCACAAAACAGCACACCATTGTCAGCAACAACAGCACACCTTGTACAACCGTCTTGCTGGCTTGCTGGGCCATGTTCACTGTTTGTTATTTCTTGTTTTTACTGTACACATGACAATAAAGCCGGCGGCGGTCGGTGCGTCCCCGGAACAGGCGCAGCGGCAGGCACTGCATCCCGGCCAGGACAAGCCACTCCAGCATAACCAAACACATACTATGCCCGTGCCAATCCTCCCGCTGAATCCTCCTGCTCCTCGACCCGTCCAGAACCATGCTTGTGCAATAGTTTCAAGTGGCCAGGCAACTTTTTCCATTATGAATGGTGCGGTTGCGCTTTTTTCCATCCATTATTTACGAGTTTTGAGTGCAAACTTGTTTCGCCAGCAAACAAGTGGCGGCCAGAGGATTAGAACACTCGCTCGACCGCTTTGGTCTGAGTGGCGGGCGAAAGGATGCAGAGTCCTGGCACTAAGTGCTAAAGTTTCGGCCATAAGCCAAAGAAAAAGGCACGCCTCATTCGGAAATAACCAAACGGAAATAGTTTGGATGGCAAAAATGTGTAAGCGGTGTGATTCCTGCAGCCATAAAATCAAATCCCTTGATGTACCACAAAATAAGGAAATCTGTAATCTAATTTCAATGAAAATAGAGTTCAATTCCTTTTAAATTAGGCCTTTGATTTAAAGATGACACGTAGATTAAATGCGACCTAATTGATTTCACTTTTCCAAATTGTTTTACAGCTTCTATAAGGACCTTTTTGTAAGAAAAGGACGCTCTTTTTTATAGGAGCATGATCAATTTTAAAATTCAGTGCTTGGTTTTTTGTTTCTGTTTGGAGTGCAGTTTCGATAAAAAGTTTCCACTATTTCTGACTATGCCCGATGCATTTATGCGTGTGCATAATTTTCAAAATCACTTGAGTATTTGGCGAAACAAAGTCAAAAGTTTCGCCAACTTGTTTCACGCATTTTCCGGCTGCACCGTCCCCAGGCCGCCCAGAAAGCCCAACCATCCAACCACCCACTATCAGACGTTAGGCTGTCGCAATCTGCCGCCATATACAAGTTCTCTCGTGCGAAGAGAGAATGTTCTGCATTCCCTGACATTGATAAATGATTTTCCCCCCAAAAAGTTTGGCTTGAGAAAGCCCAAAACAAGCAGGTCAGGACGGGAATGGTGGGTGAGTGGGCTGGGAAGTGCATTCATGGCAAGAAAATTTTTGTTGCTCACTAAACCGTGAACCAAGAACTTTGAAAATTCGCCTGCTGGAATTATCGCAGCTCTGCATCCTCGAGAGTCGGTGACAAGAGCAAAGCCAAAGAAATCATAAATATAGTCTATACTGTAGTATGCACATGTAGCAGAACATGTTCACGGTATGGCTATGGGTGTAGGCTTGGCCTGGCTGTGGGGCTTGTGTCCAATTTAATTATCCTCGCCAGCCAAAAGAAGTGGTCGAGCCAAGAAATTTCATTCACTTAAAACTCTGGAACGAACTTCTCCCGAGCGAATGCAAATGAAAAACCACAACGCATGCTCAAGCCGAGTTTTCAGTTTTGAGTTTTCAGTTTTCCGCAATCCGCAAGCCCCCAGACTCCAAGGCTTCAGTTTAACATGTAATTAGAGTGCGAGGAATGCGCGTGGTTGCCAAAAATGCTGTGGCCGTGGGTGCTTTGAAGTATGTAAGTAAGCACTGGAATATAGACGTACAAATATACGTATGATTTCAAGTAACATTTTGAGAAACTCTTGCAGTGTCTCAGCCATCTGGCTGCCCACAAAAGTTCAAGTTTGCTGCTTGTCTGGCGCTCGAGTCCCGCATCCTGCCTTCCTGCGCTGCCTGCCTGTGTGTAAATTGGACGAATGTGGCATTATGTCGATGTGTTGACATCCAAAGTGCACAATCATCTACCAAAAAAGATGAAAACTGCTCGAACTTTTTCCAAGTTGGGCAAGAGCATCCGTTGTATGGTGCGGTCAGAAAAGAAACAAAGTTTTATAGTTACTTGTGTTAGTTTTAAATTCAGTTGCATAGTTGCACTCAAAATTGGATGAAATTTGTGAAGGCTCAAGTGGGGTATTTAATTAGCTTAAATAGATTCATAGAAGATAAAGATATTTCTATGATGTTTCGGGGTTCGTTTTTCATTTAAAATATAGAAGAGGATTGAATAAAATGTACATATTAACGATGATTAACGGATAGATGGATAGAAAAACTTGGTTTATAGTATTGTTCCCTGACCCAATACAAGTACACAAAATGAGATAAATATGTAAAATTACTCACGCCATTTTTTTGTGTAAGCCACAGAAAAATGTATCCCAAATCTCAGATTTAATGTATTATGCAGCATTATTATGCTGTTATTAATGATTCAAGACACAAAATAGGTAAGTTTGAACTCTTGGCTATAAATTTCAAATGTGGGTTATTTTTAAAAAATTAAATATTTAAAAGAACTTAATTTAATATGACTAATGCTTTGTATTACGCGCTCAAAGCTGTTTAATTTAAAAACAACTCCTCCGTTAAACGTCAAATTCATTATTAATACGCAGCGCACTGGCCAGGATACAAATACGCTGGTTAGTTTATGTCCATATTGTATCGGGTAGACTGTGCGGAATAAATTGCTTTTGCAATTTTTGCTCTTTGTCCATAAAGAACCATAAGAACGGGGAAAGTTGCAGGGCGTTCGGCCTGCTCGTTCGCATTATTAACGCACATAAAACTCGCATATAAAGTGATTTAAATTTATTAAATATAAAACCCCACCGCACCGCACCACCACAGCTCCAAAGATGTGAGCGCATAACAATTGCAATAAAATTTAACGTGCATCGATAAAAAGAATATCAAACCGAATAAAAGCAACAACAAGCGCCAGCGATCCGCTCCAACGAAGAAGAGGACTTCATTACTTGTTTGAATGAATGGCGATGCAGAAAACAAAAAAAGTCATTCATATGTATGTGGGGAAAACAAAAAGCGAATATGATGGAAAAACCACTCACAATGGGCTCGACGGATACCAGAACCCATCTGAATGAACGTGCGAGGCTTTATAAATTGTTGAAAATATGAATGAGCCGAGGCATCGACAAAGGCGGGCGTTAAATGTTTTATATTTAAGAGCTCGCCAAACTGCCAACACACGTATGAGTGACTGACTATAACAATTTTTCTACTCATGTATGAAGGCATCTCACTCATCTCCGTTCGTCTTGTCATGAATAATTATGATTTTCAATTAAAAGAACATTTTCCTGCAGCACAGGCCTTAATTGGTTTTCCTTTTGAATCGATGCAGAATTTGACTTACTGAATGACGCCAAGCCCCCGCCTGCCTAGGACATTTCATGGGTGTTGCAAAATAGGACAAAATAGAGTCTTTTCGGAGCTCTAGTAAGAGTTTATCATCCTTAAAAACTTCACAAAAGAAAATAAAAATGGGAAAGCTAATTTAATTTTATTTGAATTGGATACTCTCGTATGCGAAAAACTCACAGCAAATCAAAACGTATTCCAGCCAATCATTTCGCCTTGCTTATTCAATGCATAATTTATGTGCCAGGCGGTTATGTTATTATACCAAATCAGAGGCAAATATTATTGCATTGGAGATACATTCGCGTATGTATGAATATAATTTTAATGCAGCACTGTATGCAAATAAAATCAAAACGTGGCTAATTCTCTTTTTCGCCCCTACACGAAATCAATGGCGGCTGTCAACACGCCACGAATCCCCTCCATGGCAGTGCCCCAATAAAAATAATAAATAATAGAAAAATGCGCATAGGAATTGCCATTGAGATGGGGAAATGTGCGTGACAATCGCTCAACTCATTGGCTTTACCGATTCCCGAGGACAATCCTCTCAAATGGATAAGACTGGGGTGTACCTTGCATAAAGCTCCACCAATGAAGTTTGAACAAGATTATTAAACACTGCGTCACTTATTCCTTTTTGAACTTGACTCATTACACTTTATATTGAACAGTAATTGATTAAATTAATTTTTAAGAAGCTTAAAGATCAAATTTTATAGCTTTCCCTTAGATTTTAAAGGGTACTTCACAGGCGTTGACACTGTATATTTTAAGATGGAACGTTCACTGGAACCTTTTGTGTATAATATTGACTGCTATATTTTTATGCTACCCAATCAGCCATATGCGCATTTTCACATCATAGACACTTGCGCCCCGAAACACATTCTTATGCACACACATGTACATGGAGTAGATAGTCCTGACAGGAGCGGGCATTTCGGTGGTTGGCCTCCTGACCAAAGAGACGGAAGCGCCGAACGTAAAAGCAATAAGGGGACAACAATCGGGGTCGAAGTTTTTAACTAATTAGCCATCACATTTTCAGTTATGCACCGGAACAGCAAACAAAACACGGCATTATAAATTCCAGCGACTGGAAAACTAAGGGAAGTGAGAAATGGGCTTTACGAATCAAAAATAACACAGGCCGACATAAAAAAATCTCTACGCGACTTTGATATTTTGTATTTTTGGAGATAGGGATGTTTTTTTATTATGTATTCTAATTCTCTGCTGGTCCTGATAATGTCCCCAGATGTGTTCTTAGACACTGCTCTGGCATCCTTTGCTATCCTCTTACTATCTATCCTACCTATCTATCCTTACTCTTAATATTCTATCTTATTCAATTTATGGAACTCTTTGGAGCTTAGATGTCTTCCCAAGAATGAATGGAATGAATCAATTATTATTCCGCTTCATAAGATAGGCTCAAAAGCACTTATTAAGAATTACCGCGGAGAAACTGGTTACTTCCCAACTGCAACATTTTTGTAAAAGCATAATTTCAAAGCATGGTTTTGTTAAGCATCGCTCTACTAAAACCAACCTTCTTGAATTCACTTCGATATTCCACAGGGGTTTTCTAAGCCGCATGTAAACTGATGTGGTATACACCGATTTTAGCGAACCATTCGATTCTGTGAACCATCACCCCCTTCTTCATAAGCTGTATCTTATGGGGTTTTCTCCAAAAATCGTACAGTGGTTGACCTCCTATCTAACGAACCGCTTGCAGCGTTTTATAAACTTTATAAATGGTGTCCCACAAGGTAGTCACTTAGGAACTCTTCTATTTGTGTTTTTTTTTACGATTCACCGAGTGCTGCAAACTGGCACTACATTTATGTATGCTGATGATGACAAGTTTTGTCATTCTTTCTCAGACCATTTCCTTCATAAGCACCTGCAATTAGATCTTAACGAGGTCTTCGTGGTGTTCAAACTTCTTAGATCGTGTTTTCCTAATTAATGATTTTGGAGTTCTTTTTGACAATAAGTTTTCGTTCAATGAACACATATCATTATCAAACTTTGGTCAAAAGAATTTGATAAACCTTTCAAAACTAAAACTCTATACGTCTCTTTGGTTCATCCTATCTTGGAATACTGTTCGTGCGTTTGGAGTCCGCAATACTTTGTTCACAAAAAGAGGATGAATCTGTCCAAAAGCAGTTTCTGTTATTTGAATTATCGTTGCCGGTTATCCGTATCGTTTCTGGTTAAAACTATTAAACCTATCTCCATTACAAGAGCGGCGAACTTGTGCTGGGGTTGTGCCACTTCATATGCTTATTCTTTGACAGGTGGACTCAAAATTACTTCCGAAAAAATTAATGTTTTCAGTTCCTAATTGAGTAACTAGATCCTTAAGACCCCTTTGGTTAGCCATTTCTAATTTTGCTTGCCGCGATCCATTTGTAAAAATTACAAATCACTTTCACATTTATTATCCCCTGAACTATCCCTAGATGTAATTAAATCTAAAATGATGACATCCCTTTTAGCTAAATTTACCTTTACTTTTAATTCTAGAATAACAGATCATTGTTAATAATAATAATAATAAATTGGTTTTATAATAAAATTCTCATTACGATTTATATTCGATCATAGCTGCAAGGGTATATCACCTTCGGCTCCGCCCGAAGTTATCTTTCCTTTCTTGTTTTAAATGAGTTGGTATTCATACGATTTAAAAAATAATATCTACTAAAAAAAATGATAGTCAACGCAATAATACGACCTACTTAATTTAAAATATGGCAAAATGTTATCAATTTCTTTTCTTAAGGATACCGCGGAAACTGTGGCTGGTGGAATCTATGTTTGTTCTGCATTTAGGTTCAGAGGACCCTAAAGGTTTTTGAGCAGGCAAAATTATGCGTGGAGGAAAAAAATATTTTCGGCCTGTGTAATTGAGTGGCATAAAGCAAACAGCGCCATGTGGGAGAAGTTTAATAGCCTGCCGCAAAATAATTACCCAAAAATAATTTACTATGAATTAGATACAAAGGCAAACAAAATAACGAAACTGACAACTTGCGCAATATAAATTAGAATTTGTTGTTTAATTGGAAATTTGATGCGAATTTTTGTTCCAACCAGCCCCAGCTCTCAGTCCCCGTCCCCTCCTCCGTGCCCATCATTTTTCGTTAAGCCAACGAGCAAATTGAGCTCTTCTCAACGTATTAAATTTCATCAATGTGCACCTATTATTCCGGCACAAGCATCATTATTTCTGAAAATAAAATATGGTGCCCGCAGCAGAACTGTTGTTTTGGATTGTTTCTGACTTTATGGACGAACTATGGAGGAAGGGGGGTGTGTGTAAGCAGCATTCCGGGCTTTACCATCAATTAGTTGCTGTTCTGGCCGGGCTCCTGCCATTCAAGCTAAAGATGGTGCAAGAAAATAAAAAATGTAAGCTCTATTCGTTCCTGAGAAGGTTAGATTCGATTACAGAACGGAACGTTCTGGAAGGGGCCTCAACATCACATCCAGCATACATTTTATTAAAAAATAACACATACCTGCTCCTTACATTAAGCCACAAATCCAAAAACCTTGCTTTGTTCAAATCAAAAAATTTAATAAATAAATATTTCATATTTTCATTGCAGTGGGCACCACGATTTTAGCAAGGATCAACATCAATTTAATTAAACCGCAAAGAATTCACTCGCATGCTAAAATGGACGGCTGGAAAAAGGCATAGCATAAACAAACGTTGCTGCCGATAAAATTCCTTACTTGCATAAAATATTATATTCATAAAATTTTAATATTGCCATTTGCGGTAATTAAACCATGAGCAATTCCAATCGCCGGAGCCAGACAACGCCACTCGCTTGAAAATGCAGACTCGGCTCCAGGCTCAGGCCAGTCCAAAGAGCCCCCGACGTCCGAGGTAAGCTTCCAAAATAAACACAACGTAAATATGGACTTCAATGAGAGATATTTCGCATTTTTGAAATACAATATTTTTACAAAATTATGAGCGTCCTGCGCAGGCAGAGGCGGCGGCGGAGGTAAATTCAATAGCAGCAAGGAGCTTTTCTACACATTCAAAATATTTTGACAAGTTTTTCAATAATGCAATAAAGTTGCCAGCGCTCCCCCAAGGCGGTGGCAGCATCATCCAAGGACACTCTTGATGAAATGAAAATATTGCCCACAATTTGTTAGGTCCTGGCCTGGTCCGAGGACGTGCCGGCCCTGTTCTTGACTTGGCCATTTGCGGCTACTTGTTTATTTTCCCTGCACCGCTTCTCTGGGAGTGCGCAGCCCCTCTGGTTTCTCCAGGCCAAGTCCAAGAGAGATTTTTCAATAGACCAAGACGACGGACGGCCAAGGCATAAACAAATAATAAAAAATACAGAAAGAACAACACCGGACGCACAAGTGAGCGCGGAAATCGCGACCCTGGCAACGACCTAGGGGCCACTCATTTGTCAAAGAACGGACGGGGGAGGGCGTGGGAGGGTCGGTCAGGAAAGGAAGCCGAGCCCCGGGACACAAGGCATTCATCTTGGTCCTTGGCAACCAAGACATATGGCCGCCCGCCAAAGGCACCGACAGGCAAATCTCACTGCCAGCGACCAAAACAAATTAAAGACCCACTTTAAGGCATAACCTACAAATCGAGTTGGCTAAACCAGGAGGGAAGGAAAAACCGGTCAAGTCCTGCCGATCCAACAAATTCAAACTGACAACAGACAACACACACCAAGAAAGGACAATTTTTACAAGATTACCTGACCGGCATACGTAATAAGGTGAGGACCGAGTCCGGCCAATCGAATTCTAAACTGTCGTCTGAAAACGATTTGAACACAATACTCAAATCGGACATCAGAGGGCAAGGACCTAAGACCGATTGATGCCGAGAAGCTAGCAAAGTTCTTGATTTAGTTTTCGATGAAAACATCACAATCCATACCAAAATACACGAATTTCTATAGAATATCTTTATAATAAAGTAGAATATCCTTACGAAATGACGTTCAGAGCGGTAGTTAGAATGCCTAACCGATTACTTATAAGCCGTAGATCTATATACTTATATTTTATTAGATTTCATGGAATGAAAAGGGTATCGAGTTCCAATTAATCCGTTATACCTTTACGGTCTCAAGTTTTCGTATAAACCCATTTCGAAGGCAATAAAATACCCCAAAAGGAGTGTTAAAAAATTTGTTCCCCGATTTAAGCTGAAAATTTTCAAGGAACGGGCAATTTCCTGACGGGAGACCTGAGACTCCGGCTGGCCTGCAATGAAATCGATTAAGTCGTCCGTGTCGATATACAGGACACATCCAGAGCCCCGAACATGTCGGGGTGTATGTCCTTAAACATTTCGCAGCAGCAACTCATTAAAAAGCATTAAACGCCAGGAACGGAAGACATTGAGACTATCAGGCGGGGACACGCTTCCGTTTCTCTACTTGAACTCTTCCATCTCCTCGATTCTCCGGTGCCTTTGGTTGCCCCGGTCCTCCGGTCCTTCCGGCACAGATTTACGGGGGAAAAGTGCGTAAAAAAAGGATGGAGTGGGGACGGTAAGGGGAAAGGGAAAACAGTCCGTCCGGGCAGAGATTGTCACCGGGCCAATTGTGCGCAGCAGGAACGAGGACTTCAAATGATTTATCGCCCGATAGTTGAGTTCAAAAGCGAAACGCAAAGAGACAGAAGGCCAGGATTCGCCCGCACAAATATTTATTTATAAAATTGTTATCCCAACCGGGCGTCACCCAACCGGGACGCCCCGCCCCCTCCTTGCTGCCTTAGCTTCTGTTTCAGCTTGGCTCCGGCCGAGTCCTTTAGCTCTGCCCCTTCGATTGGAGGGCTGGCTGAGCCGCGTGCCTTGCTCATTGCCAGGCATTCGCTCATTTTCAAATCGGATTTTATCAACTGAATGCCATTCTTGTGCAAATATCTTATCTCGCTGCCGCACCGGATAATGGCAACGTCCCCCCTGTGCCCCGTACACATCCATGCCTCGCGTTCATCTGCTCCTTCTAGCTTTAGCCGGAGCTCAGTCCCGGCTTTGGATCCCGCTTTTGTATGGCTTTGGAATTATTTCGAAAGCGGAAATTGATTTTCCTTTCTTATTGTGTACGCTTTTTCGTGTTTCGAGTCTCTGTTGCTTTGCTTGTTCTTTACATTGCTTTGCTTTGCTGATTTCCCTCGACTCAGCGACAATGCCCGCTTTACATATAAATAATTTGGCCGCGCGAAGGCAGCTGCTCCCGCCGTAAATGAAAACTCACTTTCTTTTTCCAGCCTTGGCCCCTGATTTCGAGCTCTTACGATGAAGACGCGGCTAAGCTAAAGCCCCGAGAATGGGAGCTCGGAAAGTACTTGGGAACAGACAAAATAAACTTAACCCCTTTCATTGAGAGACCTCATAGCAATACTTTGACTCTAGCGCAGATTTTATTATGTTAATATTGTTATTTATGTAAATTTATCTAAATTTATACTATTATTCATTTTAATTTTAAAACTTCATACTATTCAAATTTGGTTTATTAATTTTATACACATATTTCTTTCATACTTTCTTGGAATTGATTGAAAAATAATGTTCTCAAACTGTCAGCATGCTATTCGATAATACATTTTTTCAAAAACCCAACCTAACCAAAAGTAAAACGTGGATTGTACAAAAATCATTCTCAAATCCTAAAACCTCTATCTTAAAAGGAACAGATTTTTGGAGAATGCAAGCCAAAACATTTGTGGTTTTCGCATTAAAATACAATATCGCTAATATTATTTCACAAAAGAATGCATTTTAAGCTGATGCGAACTGAACTAAAGTGGAAAGTCACGTGTGTCCAAAATGAAATGTTGCTCATACGCAACGTTGCACTCCGAGGACTAACAAAATATGAGCCGAACGCGCCCTGCTGAGAACAGCGTTTCTGGGCCAGCCTATCAACGGCCCTGCCCCGACCTGACCTCGCACATTCATTCTCGCCAATGGGGCACGGCCTAGTCTGAGGGCCTGGAGCAGCCACTATCCAGTATCCTTTTTCGCGCGTCTTTGACATTATGAATGATCAGCATAAATTTCCCTGAGACCCTCCCACCCAGCTGCAGATGCTGCTGCGGGGCTAAAAATGAAAAAGATGAAAAAATCATACGTAGGGGAATGGAAAGATAACTAGCGAACAAAGTGAAGGACGGCTCAGAAATTCATTTCATTTCCTTTGTACGTGAGCAACATTTTTTATGCAATTCCGTGTAATAATTCTCTTGGCTGTCGCCTTTTTCACGCATGAATATTCAGCTGCCGCGATGGAGGGAGTCCGGCTAATGAGAGTTTCTAAGGAATGCCAAGACGCCCCGGCGTCTGAATTGGTTTATTCACTGGCTGATACAAACTGAAAACTGAAGGCCGAAAATGTTTGCCAAAAACTTGCACAATGAAGGCCAAATGAGGGCGCACAGAATGGAATTGAAAACTAAATTCAGTTTACATAATACAGCTCATAAAATATTTTTCGCACATTCATTGGCTCCTTGGCGCAAAACTAGGCCACACTCTAGGATCTTCACTGCTCCTCGAACAGGATTCGGGCATAAACAATATACTGAGACGACAATGAAGCCACCAACGAACTTGAAGGGAAAATAACTTGAAACTTGAATATTTACATATGAAACGAAACCCACCCACGCGACACGAGCAGAAACACTCAAACAACCGCACACAGGAAAAAAATGTGGTAAATTGCCGGCAGGGGAAGGATGTGGATCTGGATGGGGTCGGAGAGTTGGGGTTGAGTTTCGGTTCGAGACTAAACAGCACTAAATTAATTCTGCACAATTTGCATTAAAATATGCAAATAAACAAGAAAGGAAAGCTAACTTCGGGCGGAGCCGAAGTTTATATACCCTTGCAGTTAAAACCGGATATATATCGCAAACATCGGATATAGTTGGCCGATCCTTATGGCAATAGGAATATGTAATCCAATTTTTTACAATACAAAATCTAAAAAAAGTCCCAAACTTCTATCTTCAAAAATACGAAAGTTGATATTTCTACCAAGTACCATTTCCGATCGTTCAGTTATATGGCAGCTATAGGATATAGTCGGCCGATCCTAATGAAATTTGGTAGGTCGGATCAACTGACCAAATATATAATCTGTACCAAGTTCCAGCTTTCTATCTTCAAAAACACGAGTTGGGTTAAAGTTGGGTCATTTCCGATCGTTCAGTTGTATGGCAGCTATAGGATATAGTCGGCCGATCCTTACGAAATTTAGCATGTCGTATTATTTTGCCAAAAATAGCTCTCACCTAAAATTTGAACTCTCTAACTTTAAAAACACCAAAGTTATACCATTTCCGATCAATCAGTTATATGGCAGCTATAGGATATAGTCGGCCGATCCGGGCCGTTCCGACTTATATACTGCGTGCAAAGGAAAGAAGGGTGTGTGCAAAGTTTCAAGACGATAGCTTTAAAACTGAGAGACTAGTTTGCGTAGAAACAGACAGACGGACAGACAGACGGACAGACGGACAGACGGACAGACGGACATGCTCATATCTACTCAGGAGGTGATCCTGATCAAGAATATATATACTTTATAGGGTCGGAGATGTCTCCTTCACTGCGTTGCACACTTTTGACCAAAATTATAATACCCTCTGCAAGGGTATAAAAAGTGAAGGAAAGCGAAAGGGCCAGGAGTTGAAGGAAAGCCAAACGTTTTGCGGTCCCAAACTATAGAAGAGGTCCTTCCGTCAGACATTACACGTATATATCTTATTTTTGAATAAGTGTGCTTAAGCAAACAGACACTGGAAAAGCGTTAAGCATATGTGTGATCCAAGGGCTCCACATAATGCAGAGCACCGGAGTGGGGCTTTTTTCCTTTTAAATTTCGA